CAGGCTTCAGATGTGCTAACGTCAAATTCAGAACTTGGCTTTTCCCTGTGCTGGCCAGAACATCTGCAATTTTGTTATTTTTCCATAAAACAGAAAACATGCTTGGGACAACTTCAGCAAATGTCAAAGTGTTTTAGAAATCAGAACCAACAAATCAGAGGCAAGTTCTGAACTGATTCATTCTCTACTTAAGCGTACAGATGCGTGAAAACCTCAGAACAATGTACAACATCAGAAACATGATATCTACATTGTGTTTTTGAGCATGCAAATCTGGTAATGCTTAGGCAAGGTGGTGAGAGTCAGCAAGTGCTTACCTTGCAGCTGGAAGAAGCTATGTGAACTGGAGTTAGCCTTAACTCTGATGATGTTTTGAGTAGCTTCTTTGAATGGATGAATGGAGGGTATGTAGTGGTATGAATACAGAAGTTATGGCAGTTTCCAACGTGTGGGTCAGAAACTGTATGAAAGGTTTTTTAGTCAAGAAATACTTTGAGAACAAATGGAGTTTGAAAGCAAAGGATCCAAAGTTAATGGTTTGTACGCTGTGTTTACAGTTTTTTGAAACTCTAGGAATTTTGGGCAGAGGTTCAAGACTTTTCTTTCTCAAACTTTCTGTCTCTTTTCAGCAATTTTTTTTGGTCCCCTTCTCAGTGACCAATGTCCTTCTATTTATAGGCAAAGCTTTGTGGTTTTAAAATGTCAAGTGGCGCCAATATCATGCATTAGATGCTGACTTACTCTTGAAGCAAGTTCCAAAAAGGTTGTGGTGATTGACAGCCTTTAGCCTAGGCTAGATTAGTAAGCAAGGATTAAGGAAAAGTGAACCTATAAGCGAAACGTAGCGTATGGGCCTTTACCTAATCCTGCACAAAAGTATTTCCACCCTACACGTGGAGAGATCCTCTGGAAGAAGACTCAAAAGTGGCTGTGAGCATTAATGAGCATTAAGTGATGATGAGATTCGTCAAAAATCAGAAATCTTGTAATATGAGATTTGCATCATTACTTAAATCTAGGCCAGAAGTTCCATTTCAACAGAGTACCCAAGTTCTGATCTTGATATCCTGTTGCCTTAGCAAGTTCTGAGGAATCCCCAAGCTTTCCAGCATGTTTCTTTGACTTGCTTCTGAAAACTCTAGACTTAGAGATTCTGCTTCAGTGTAGCACCCAATCTTCTGACCCTCTTACCTTCTGGTTCCAGCACGTCCTGAAGGAGCTTTCATATTTTTCATCATGTTTTATAATCTTCTGGCAACTTCTGACTGAGCTGGCGTAGATGCTGAAGGGCCACATTCTGACTGAATGTTATGTGCTGAAACACACTTACAACTTCTGACTGCTCTTGCCTGGAGGCTAGCTCAGAAGTTCTGAAGTGTCATTTTTCTTAAATACTTTAGAAAAATTCTAAGCATTTAGAATTTAACTTTTCCAAGGTAAAATTTGACTTTTGACCTTCTTGATGAAACAAACTTCATATTCCAACATGTCTTGATGAAATATGATTTTTGAGATTTGATTTTGATCCAAAAACTAAAGTTTGACTTCTCAGCGTGTAAATGACAATTTTGCCCTTGTAAATGGATTGTTTGGAAAGAAATGATAATTCAAGGCTTGGATTTGTATGAGAGAAAACTTTGAGAATCCAGGGTGATTTCCTGAGAAAGGAGATGGCAAATTTGGGGGTACAACACATGTCTACCTACACTTGTTTCAGTTGTACTCAATCGCAGGATCATTGAAAACTTAATTACAATCTCATTTGTCAAGAAATCCTACCACTCGTCAGCAACGATCCATCTTTGAAGGCGAAAACCATCATCTCCCACATCACTACGGTTTTTAACTATACTCCGTCTTACCGTAAGGCGTGGTTAGCAAAGACCAAGGTGATTGAAAAGGTATATGGAAACTGGGAGGAGTCATACCAAGAACTTCCTCGCTACCTGAATGCACTCAAGACTTATTCTCCGGGTAGTGTTTACATTCTGGAAACAGTGCCAGCATACGCCCTGGATGGTAGCCAACTCAACGGAAATGGAATATTCAGTCGAGTGTTTTGGGCATTTCAACCTTGCATCACAGGGTTTGCATCATGCAAACCAATTATACAAATTGATGGGACTTGGTTGTATGGAAAATACAAAGGCACGCTACTGATGGCAGTTGCACAAGATGGCAACAACAACATTTTCCCAATTGCCTTTGCCCTAGTCGAGGGGGAGACTGGTGGTGTTTGGAGTTTTTTTCTGAAAAATCTGCGAACACACGTGGCTCCTCAACCAGATCTCTGTTTGATCTCGGATAGACATGCATCCATTGAAAGTGCATATAATAATCCTGCAAACGGTTGGCATGACTCTCCTTCTACGCATGTCTATTGCGTTAGACATATCGTCCAAAATTTCACGAGGGAGATTAAAGACAAAACACTAAGGAAAGTGGTTATGAATGCGGGATATGCATTAACATAATCTACATTCAAATATTACCACAATGAGATCCGTTTGTCAAATCCGGAAGCCGGTAGGTGGATTGACAATATTCCGGTAGAAAAATGGACTAGGTCATACGACAATGGCCAGAGATGGGGGTACATGACAACAAATCTAATTGAATCGATGAATGGGGTATTCAAATGCATACGAAACCTCCTGGTCACTGCTTTGATAAAATCTACGTATTTTAGGATGGCTTCGTTGTTTGCCAAAATAGGTGAAATATGGAATGCAGTGTTGCAATCTGGACAACTGTGGAGTGAAAGCTGCATGAAGTACATTAAGGCAGAAAGTGCCAAAGCCAACACCCATATGGTTATACGGTTTGACCGACACAGCCACAACTTCATTGTGAAAGAGACAATCGACCACAACGAGGGCCTGTCAAGACAAGAATATAGGGTTGTACTACCTTCTCGTTGGTGCGATTATGGCAAGTTTCAAGCATTTCGTATGCCTTGCTCTCATGTCATTGCCGCGTGTTCCTATACTCATCAAGACGCGCTACAACTTTTGTCACACATTTACAAATCTGAAACGTTGCTCAACGTTTACAACAACAACTTTCCTTTGGTAGCAAAACCAGATTATTGGCCTGCATACGACGGCGAAATAGTATGACACAATGACCAAATGCGAATGAACAAAAAGGGTCATCCCAAAAGTAAACGCATCACAACCGAAGTGGACTCCCTTGACAAGCTGGAAAGAAAGTGTGGTTTATGTCGTCAGGTCGGACACAATCGCAAAAATTGTCCGAATCAGGCTACTGCATCGACCACATAAAAATTGTATTACATAAAATCTTTCCTTTATTATGTTGTAAACATTAGGGTTTTTCGTTAACATTATTTGTTACAATAAACATTGCGCGTACAAGAAAAAAAACACGATATTCCGTCTACGAAATTACAACTGTTAAAACAATATCATCTGACCCATGCATCATCAACATTACGTCGCTGTCTGTTTTGACTTCCTCCAACCAAACATTAGGTCTTCCTGTCGCATGTGAGGTTGTTGTTCGTCTTTGCTGGATCCTTCGAATTTTTCCCCCATCCACGATGTCTCCATCTAGCCATCGCATCAACTCCCGCTTCAGACGCTCAATGGAGTGAATGTGTCAGAATTTCATTTTTATCGCAGGTTTTGTGGCGGAGAAGATAACGTAACCATCTCTGGTAAAATTCATGGGCGATGTCATGACGCAAATAACAGAGTAAAAAATAAGAAAACAGTACGAGAAAGTGTGAGAAATGACGGAGAAACGGACGAATTATTTATAAAAAACAACATTTTGTCCTAGGAGCCAAGTGAGATAGCGCCTCCTCTCATTTTTGTAGTGCATGCGCCATCTCACTTGGCTAAAAGAGAGAGGAGGCGCCAAGTGAGATGGCGCCTAGGGCTAAATGCATAGTGGAGGCGCCAAGTGAGATGACTCCTCCTTTGAGGAGTCATTTGAAACATGGTTATTTGCGTAATTTTTTTCGAAACATGATTATTTGTGAATTTTTTTTTTAATACATGATTATTCCAAAAAAAAAATTCAATCATTTTAACATTAACTTAATTGAATTAAGTTCAAGGAAAAAAGTTTTTTCAATTAAATACAAAATTAAGAAAGATTAGTGTAGATATAAAAATCAAATGAGATGTTAAGATAGAACTTAAATAATATAAAAGTAATTGACTGTAATAAAAGAAACTATTCCCGTTCATAAGTAAAATTGATTTTTTTATATATTTAATAATTAATATATATAATTTTATATAGATTATATATATTAATTATTAAATATATTAAAAAAATTAATTTTTACGGAGAAAATAATTATTTTTAAAAAAATGAAAATACATCGGTCCCCATATGTACAAAGACGTGTATAAAGACAAAAAGGCATCACAAGTTTTTCTCATGAATCATCACACAACCTTTAGCTGTCAAATTCTAAGCCTCTCAATTTCCCTAGATCTCTATCAATCACATATAATTAATAATTTTCCAAAAAAAAAAATCCAAAACTCATTAAAAATTAAAAGATCGGTCTAGTCCATTTCTAATTTCTCTTTCCACATCCATTACCCCGACACTAATAATTAGATTCCAAATCTAAATTTTGAATCTTAAATCACAAATATTAACTTATAAATTATCATTTCATAATATTATTTTTTAATAATTAAAATTTTATTGTAATTTCAAAATTTAATAAAATGAATTTTAAATAAACATATTTATTCTAATAAATAAAATATCGCACATTTAACTATCGTAGATATCTCGATACAACTATTAACTAAACTGATTTAATCGAGTAGTAAGTAAGTGTGGACAAATTTGGAACCGAATAGCTAAATATTTGTGATTCTTTCATATCTTCTACCTATTTTGTGCAAGTTTATATCTTTGTCTTGTTCACTCTAAAAAGTAAGAGAGAGATTCTTCTGTCACCACAGCGCACCATTTTTTGTTTGTGGTTTGTATTCAAGAAAAGTTGAATCATGCCATCAGGTGCAAAGAAGAGGAAAGCCGCCAAGAAAAAGAAGGAAATAGAATCCTCTACTTCAACCAACAACAACCCTCACGGTAGTGCTATTTCTCGCATGCATAGCTTTCTCCTTTTCAATTTTCGTCTATTTCGCAAGATTCAAAGTTAGATGCTCTATTTTTTTGTAGTTGAGTATGTTTTTCAGTTTTTCTTTTGGTTTTAATTTGATTGAAATTGAAAATTTTAGGGATATGAAGTTTCTTTGCATGTTTTTGTTGTTTATGGATATGTATGATTTGATTCTTGATTAATTGATTTATTGTGTTTGTGTTTGGGGTAGTTAGGTTTTGTTAATTTGGTCTCTTGATTGGTAATTTGTTGTTATTGATTGATTTTCATGATATGTTTAGGGGAGAATGAATTGAAGTCGATTGATGAGAAAGGAAGTGATGGTGGAGAGGTTGATTCGCCTCGGGACCATGATGAGGATCATAATCAGTTCAATGAAGGTAGTGATGAGGTGGAGGAGGTTGAACCATTGGTTGCTGTTGTCAAGTCCACGGAAGAAGTTCGTAACGATAGTAAGGTCGATGAAGCTGAGGGAGGAAAGGAAGGCGTTGATGTGATAGAATGGGATATGAAATCTGATGAGAGTAGTGAGAACAAAGATGTTAGAGTTGTGAGAATTGAATCTGATGAGGGATTGAATAATGGGAGTGGGAATTCAGGCGTTACTTCTAATGATGTAATTGAAACCGGTACTGCGAAGAACTTAAAGGATGAGCCGTATAATGATTCAGTAAAAGAGACTGTTGCATTTGATGAAGAGGCTGTTAATTCGGTAAAGGAGGGTGTAGTTGAAACCGGTACTGCGAAGAACTTAAAGGATGAGTCCTATAATGATAATATTTCAGTAAAAGAGACAGCTGCGTTTGATGAAGAGGCTGTTAATTCGGTAAAGGAGGGTGTTAATTCAGCGGCAGAATCTTCTGCTGGTTCGGTTAATGTTGTGAATTCTGTTTCTGAGGTGCAAAGCGAAGATACTGGAAATGGTTTACTTGAGAAGTCATTGGGCTTTCAAGGAGGGGAAGCTGATCTTGATGCGAAAATAAATGAGGATAAAGTACATGTCTTACCTGATGAGAATGTTAAAACATCAAGTTTGGAAGAACCTGTGACAAGGGAATTCGACGGTAAAGTATCATCATCACCGGTGTCTCAAGGAGCGGAAACTGATCTTGCTGGGAAGAGAATTGAGGATAAAGTACATGTCTTACCTTATGATAATGTTCAAACCTCAAGTTTGGAAGAACCTGAGACAAAGGAATTTGACGGTAAAGTATCATCATCGCCGGTGTCTCAAAGTCCTATCACTGAATCTACTAATGGTGCAGAACGTGTTAAAGATTCCAACACTGCAGAATGCTCTGAAAATCAGGTTTTGTGTTACTCCCCTCCCTCCACTGTTTTATAGAACTACAATAGTAATTTATAACTTTGTATTGGTTAGTATACTCTTGAATGTAGCTTGCTACAATACTTCTAAAAAAATGGGATATTTTTTCTGCCTAACTGTTAATACAATTGTCTTCTTTATTAGAAGGAGCATATTAGTAAGTTATACCTTAAATTTTTTAACATTCTCCCTAAATTTCTAGTGTATGTGATTTTTGTTACACTTTCAGTTTCTGAACTTCTGTGTTGGCAATTATTAAAGGTTTTACTTTGCTGAATTTTCTTTTCTGAATTGACATGCAGCCTCCGGCAGCATCAGCTCCACTTTTGGTGCAAAAAACGTCCTGGTTGAGTTGCTGTGGCTTGTTTGAAGCGCTGTCAAGCTCTAACAGATAAGTTCAGTTAGGTATTATTTTAACTTCAAAAATTACACTTGTAATTTGTATAATTTGAACTCTCTTCACCAACACACACATACCTCTTGCCTGTTTGTGATTGTTTTAGGTGCTTACCCTGTTACATAATAGCTAACTAGTCTTCAAAGAGGTTTGATGGTGTTGTGTTCACTAGTTAACTGATCAGTTCATTATGATATTCTTTTGTAGCATCTCATATGTTGTTTTCATATGATGGCCATTTTGGTTTTTATGATCACATCAGTGTTTTAGTTTCATCCCTTAATAACAATCACAGTGGATCATGCCAACTAAAATTCTATTTTAGAAATTTAGAAAATGACAGTGGATCATAATATATCTGGAAAATAAGGATGGTAAGAATATAATCCTAATAGAGTCCAGATAGAATGTATTGTTTAGCAGGCAATAATTTTTCTAGTGTTGATTAAAAGTGTAAGCCTATTATTGCGAAGCCAAAATATTTGGGGTTACCAAAAGAGTGCAACACACAGATGGCATGTTCCATTTTCTGCCATGGCTATTATGATTCTTGGTTTTCTGATTTGAATTTTGATAATGTGTTATTCGGTTCTTGTATTTCTTTCAGTTAATGATATACGATATACAAATAACATTTTTGTTTTAAGCATTTTCTATTGCTTTTGTATTCTCTAATTTATTCCTTGGATCTTTTTTGTTTAGTCTGTGTTTTATTTCATGTTTGTAAAGTAAAATTGAGAACTGAGACAATGTTTTTAGGTGATTATGAAGCACAGATGCAGACACGACACTAACACATTAGACACTGATAATAACTTTTGAGAAAATGAATTAATTAATTGAATATAATCCGCTATATTATTGTCAGATACTATTGTTGGATACTGACACATGTTGAACACCAAACACGTGTCGGGGCTACAAATTTGTATATGTATGTATACATTATGTTGCTCTGTTTGCATGCATATTATTTGCTAGTGAATCATCTATTTAGGAATCTTCCTGAATTCTTTCTATAATGTCGTGTCTCTTAAGGATTATTTGAGTTGTGCTAACATATATTTTGAAACTGCAAATTGAGTTTTTGTTGACAATTTTAATAATTTGTTTATGTTGCAGAAAAACATGCACGTGGATCTGAATTGATGTGTCAAACCTGTGAAGATTTAGGACTTGGTTCATAAAATTTTGTGATATTAAAATGAATGTGTTGTTTATGATTTTCCAAACAAATAATGGGCAACAGGTCCAACATATGAGATTTATATACAGTGAGGTTTGTTGTGGTAATTGTGTTAGCAACAGTTTCAGCTCAATGTCTTTCTTTTCAAAACTTTTCAAACTACACTTTTGTTAAGCTTGCAAGTGCCCTTCAATTCTTGCTTCTACACCGACAAAGTAAAGTTAGGGCCCTCTTTGAGGGCTCTTAAGGTGGGTCACCGCATATAGCTTAAATGTGTTACGGATAAATCGTGTTTAAATGGAGATCTCATAAAATATTTAATTGTGGTTAAATATAACTTCTATTTATTTTGGCAGAAGTAAACTGTGTCTAAACGTTGAGACGGCGAGCAAGTGATTTTTATCATGTCTATTGATAATTCAGTATTAGACATTTGCGAAAGTATTTAAAATATAATACTGCAACTTTAGTTGATAATGTCTAATTATTAAACATCTGGATAAATTTTTATTACTACACTGTCGGCATCTATAGTTTGTGTCTAGTCATGATCATGGATTAGGTGCAAGTTGCGTGATACAGTTAATACAGTCATGCCTTTCACCGTCAATTTAATGTACTAGCTTATAGTCAAACATGACCCTTTAATTCTGTTGCATAAAAAATAATTGAAATGGAGAGATAGTAATAATTAATTCGGATGTCTCGGCCCTGTCTCTTCCTAGTATAATAATTAATTGTGAACAAAAGATATTCCATTCCTACTAAAAAAATTAGAATACTGTATTTTCAAAATTTTCAACAATACATTTTAAATAATAAAACACAAACCAAATATTAATGTATTAATTAAACAACTAATATTTTAAGTTATCAAAATTATCAAAGGATTGGGTTTGAGGACGTGTTCGGAGTGGGTAATAGTGTACTCATCATCCGTCTGATATATATATTTTGAAATCAGAAAAAACTACAATGACACAACAGAAGACACATACCCTTGGATGGTGGTGCAGAAAACACGATGCCAACATAGAATAAAAGAGGTGGATGAAGGGATGCCGAAAAAGAATGGTGCAGCGGCGAGACATAACGAAGCATTAGCAGCGGCGAGACATAACGAAGCATTAGTGGAGATAAGGGCCATTAATATTCGCAAGGATAATAAGGGATCTCACTTTATTGCACTTAATTGAGAAACTATAGAAAAATAAATTGAAAATCAAGATAACTCCAAGAAGGAAATTGTTGATTAATGAATCATTAGTTCTAATTCAGGTGGGAGAAACTAACACCAAATTAGAATAGACCAACCAAGAGTAAACAAGTATAAAAAGGCATTAAATAAGTATAACAAGAAAAGAACAAATGGAAGAATGTTATTATCATATCACGTGGAATAACAAAAGAGAAAAAGAAATGGGACACACATGGTAAAAATAAGTGTAACATTAAATTGATAATAAAGAGGGGTATGAGTAAGATCGTTACAGTTCTGAAATTGGATAGGTTGAGGCAAAAGGAACTTATCTCAATTGCAAGTGAAGATGGATGGTGGGCCATAAATTCGGATGCGTAACAATCGAGACCAATTAGGCCTAGAAGAGTTAAGGGCCCAAGGATTAAGCAAGGAATATATTAAATTCTATACAAGAAAGAAAATAATAAAGAATTGGAAGAGTTTGTCGATGCAGTAGACAATGGCATTTTCGAAGTGGATGACTCAAATATGGAGGTTCTTGAGGAGACTTCGAGCCATGCATGACCAAAGGCTTGGGACAACTATCTAACTATTTTTTACGGGTTTCCAACAACATAAGATATTTATTTGAAATTGTAGAGGCATTGTAAATAAAATATTTTTGCGAATTAACAAGTAATATGTCCAGGAAAGTTAATAAGATATATTTATTGTTATGGGAACTAGAATGGATCTAGAAAGCTATCAACTTGTAGAGTTTTGATAGGAATGAATTCACTGAACTGAGAGATTTTGTATGAGGAATAGTTATGGCATGAATTCTAGAGATGGTAGAGGTTAAAATCATAGAGAGGCATTTCCGGTACATGCATGCAAAGATCAATTTTGCAGGAGATTAGAAAAGGGTCGCCAACGTAGTGGATTGTGGATGGTCAGTTTCAAAGGAATCAATGATATTATTGTTGAAATAAACATTAAATGTGTTAGAAATAAATGATTTGTATTAAGTATGGTAGTAGGAAAGACAATAGTTTTTAGTAGTTATGATAGTAGCAGTTATGTTTTAATTTTATGTTTTAGAATTGTAAGAGTTTGTTTGGGTCTATAAAAGACCAAGTATGTAATTCATTTATTAAGAGCAATATACAAGAAGTTAAAGTATACAGAAGTCTGATTCATATTCTAACAATTTGGCATCAGAGCTCATGGCGAACATGATGAACCAAATGCTGTTACCACGGCTGACGAAGTCAAACTATGAAAACTGGAGTATCCAAATGAAAGCTCTTCTTAGATCTCTAGATGCGTGGGAAGTGACCAATGATGGGTTTGAAGAACCAACAGAAATTGGGGGATTTACAGCAGCCCAAACGAAGGCGTTAAAAGAGACGCGAGCGAAGGACAAAACAACACTATATATGTTGTTCAGGACTGTGGATGAATCAGGCTTCGAGAAGATTGCTAGTTCGACTACGTCGAAACAAGCGTGGGACACGTTAGAGAAGGTGTTCAAAGGAGCAGACAGAGTGAAGCAGGTTCGACTCCAAACGCTTCGTGGCGAATTGGAGAGGATACAAATGAAGAATACAAAAAATGTATCTGATTACATCACCCGTGTGCAGAAGGTGGTGAATCTGAAATTCTGGCTGCAGATACTCAATGTCACGTCCAATGTTATGACACCGTATCTGACTTACTATATGACAGTAAATACAAAAGCAGTAAATAACACAGTCAATTGTTTACCCAGTTCAGTGCAACAACACCTACTCTGGGGGCTACCAAGCCAGGGAGAGAATCCACTATAAGAGATGTTAATTCAGGAATAAACCAACCAGTTTATCTCCTTCACTTAAGACCTACCCAATGCAATTCTAATCTAAGTACAACTTAAACCTGAGTTCCTACTCACTCCCCCTCAATCACAGCAGTGATACATAAACCAATTTGACTTAAGAATTGATGAAGACACTCTTCAAAACACACACTTGATTAAGCTTCACAGCTTTTTAATCAAGTAACACAATCACTCGTGCTTCACAGCTTTGAGTGATGTACACAACTAACTTGACTCTGCTTCACAGCTTTAGTCAAGTAACATTCAAACACTCTTGCTTCAAAGCTTTGAGTGCTACACAACCCTTACAATTGAAACCTATTCCAAGGCACTTATCACAATGATAATTGCTTGGAGTACAATAAACAAATCTATACAGATTACAAAATTGATCTTCTAATCAATCAGCAGGGGTGCCTTGAAAAACCGCAGCTCTGTTGAATATATAGCAGCTGCAACTTCAGTTAGGGTTTCCAAAAACCTAAGGTTGATTCCGTTTGACCTAAAGACCAGGTCACAGTACTTTATTGATCAAGTTAGGATCGAGCTAGGTTGCTCCTCAGAAAACGCAGGATTCTGTTCAGAAAGGACTGAGTTATTTCCTGAAAAAACTCAGACTTATCCAATCCTGTAATCCTGTTAGTTCAGAACCGGATGTCATAACATCTGTTATGACATCTGAGAAAACCTGTCTACTGATTTAGCAAAATGTGATCATTTTGCAAACATGCTCAGATACACACTTATAAACATCAGTATTTGAATTACACTATT